ACTAGATGGCGCTAGTGCTAGGTTCCTAACGTCAACTTAGGCGCGCAACATTATTTATGCCTGTTTCTTTACGCCAACCCAGTCGCCTCTTATTTTTATTACGGTTATTTCCCATTTTAATTTTACGTCATCCTGTCGCGTAATGTGTATTCTGATCGAAAGCGACAAAGCTTTCCCGTTCGAAAGCCGAAGCGAGACTGACCGGGTCGCCAAAAATTTGACGCCAAGTAGCCTAAATTCGCCTATTTTTTAATTCAATGTATTTGAAGACCTTCCTTTTTAAAGCTGGTGGTTGTAAAAGTGGAAGAAAAGGTCAACTTAAGAAAAATATTGAGTTTGTTTATTATTGTACAAAATATTTTACTTCTAACTAAAGAGATGAATAAAGTAGAACAAACAATTTATTCTTCATCCGCCAATAGGACAACCTCTTCTAAAATGCCTCCATCATCATCATCATCATTTCTTAATGATGAGCTAGTAGGTCCAGTAATAGAAGTGGAAGAATTAGACTGAGCATCAAGTCTCTGGTGTTTGGAATAAACATTATGAAAATTGTGCAGTTTGATTATTTCTTCTGTAGGTTCTGTACCGTTGCAAGATTTTTTTCTTACACCTAAGAAAACTCGGGTACGTGTATTGCCTGCAACATAACCAACTGCATCTCGTTTTGTGTTAATAACACTGAACACTCTTTCTACAGTTGTGTTGCTTATAGGCTTTGACAATGCGTTGCCTACCCGCGTTTCTGATTTGTGAAAATTTCTCGCACGTCAAATTACAATGTTAACAAATTCTTGGCACAAGTGACTAGTACCAAAGAGCATCTTTTTCGTACTCCTCTGATTTTGTATATTGGTACGTACGTGTCTAGCGACTTCCTCAAACTTATATCTGAAATCAATACTTTCGAGCTCAAAAAGAGAATTTTCAAATTCAGCTGACTTTACAGCCTAGACGTAAGCAAACTGATTACTGTCCCGGAAAACAGTCAGAGAGAGGCTTAAGTACTCTTCTTGCCATTGAAATCAGAAAGATGCCCAGATCATTGTAAATTATGGTTATATCAGCACTTTCTGCTTGAAATATCGTGTTCAGGTCCGTTACTTTTTTCAGCAGTACACAATAGACAATAAATGCGCCTCATCATTGTACATTGACGTTAGCTCTCTAGCTTAGTAGCATATTTCCCTTGATGAGCAGATTATGTTAAAATATGTCTTTACGGGAATCCATTGTTTTATATTAGCTTCAACGGCATCGTGAAACGACAGCTATCGTGTTGCCGCTAAATAAACCAGTTTTGGCGGTTTCTTGCTAAAATTACTTTTAAATTTTTAAAAGTAAACACCCATTCATCTCTGTAGTGTTTTATATATTTCCCGTGCTTTCCCATTATCATTCGTATTTCAAAACTATTCAAGCTTACCTTAACTAATAATCCGTAAACTCACGCACTCAACCATTTATAAAAACAAAAGAAACATCGATAAAGTCGCAAAACAAACAAAATCAACCAACAATAGATTAATTATTAGTGAACAGGGAAGGGGAGGGGAATACCCGGCATTAAGTATACGTACAAAAACATGTATCGTCACATGCAATTTTTTACATATGAGATTTATTAAAAGAGAGAGAGATTAATTCAAAATACGTAAAAATCGCCTACAGTTTTTTCCGAAGTAGCCTAAATCGCGACCAGTCGCCAATCGCAATTTTCAGTCGCCCCGACTTCGAGGTAGCCTAAAAGGCGAAAAATCGCCTAACTTGGCACCACTGGCAGGGAACAAGGTTCTGGACGCTGATAGTTTAGGTAATCTCTTTTTGCAATGAAAATAATGGTAACTAAAAAAAAAACATAAGCCCTGCTTTATAGTTAATTCGGTTAGTATGCAAAGTTTTACGATCTAATTTGAAGTATTTTTTGAATACCAGCGGTTTATAGTTCGGTTTGGAGATAACTTTGGATTTCTTTTCCATCGAGAAAATTTTACGGAATCGTGTTTTCGTCTAACATTTCAAAATTAATGCTGCAATATTTTCGGCATAACGGAGGATCTTGTAAAGCCATTTGAGGTAGTATAGGCCCTTCAAACCGGAATACAACAACTAATTTAGGATGATTTGGTTATTTGAAGCCCTCTAAGGTCCTGAAAATAGTATAACGATACATGCATAAGGGTATTCACTATAAGTAAATGTGTAATAAGTATAGTTTCATATCGTAATAATGTTGTTGTAAATTGTAATCGCATAACTATCAATGTCCAGATACATTGAAAGCGACTAGCTGACAACTGAGCTGACATCAGTTCAACACAGTCAACCGAAAGGCGCGCGCGCTTTTTTAAGTTCTTCAGAAATAGTGTCAATTTACGAATGAAATTTCTGAGTTACATTTGAAATTTTGTGATCACTTGTGAATAACAATTAAACCGTGAGTGAATTTTAAATTTATTATAATTCATTGTTTATTTATAATAGCATAATTATAAAAAGAAGGTGTATATTTAGGCTATGAAATTTAATCACGATATCCATTTTTTATGGATTTAATATATTTTTGATACTTAATGTAGTGTCATATATTTAATTACTTAGTAATAATAATTTTCATGTTTGCGATTGTAGGTATGCAACATTATGTGCGCAAGAGCCTTGTGTAACGATATATTATCCCGTATTACATGTGACGTGCATACAACATTGAGGTTCATGAATAAAAAATGAGAACACGACCTGAATAATTAAATAACTCAATACTGCTTTTGTTTTCCCTTTTGAACAAGTACAAAATATATTAGTAATATACTTCTTTTGCTTTATTAAAAATTTGGTAAATATGTAAAAAAGCTAATCTCTTGATTGAAAATATGTCAGTTATGACCAAAGGTTATATGTTAGTTCCCATAAGCCTTTCAGACCGCCTTCCCAAGTTTCCCATTGGGTCAAAGCCTCTTAATAATGCGATTTGAATCGTATTCGTATCCTCGAAAAAAAAAGATCTGATTTGGAATAATGTATTACAATAATAGAAAAATTCATGTCAGCCGTTCCGTGAAAACGGAAACGTAAAATTTAATATTTCCATAATAATGCAATCTTAAGTCATTAAATTAATTGTGTTTGATAGTTATGGAGCGTATCCCTTTCACCGCAACTTCTACTTTTTGCAATCACTCTTTTGAAGTTTCTTCGAACACTATCGTAGCATCGCGCTGAAAAATAACTTATTATTAGTTATCCTTGACAGTGACTGTAAGTACAAACATTTTGCCAGTCCTAAAAAAATTAAGGCCCGCACCCTAGACAAAATATTTTAATTTTAGTCGTAGTGGCCGTAAATTTTATGATAAAAACTAACTGTTTCCCGCGGATTCACCTGCGTGGAATTTATAACGATTGAATTTCATGTTTTTTTTTTTTGCGTGGAAACGTAATTCTTTTCCAAAAAGTAGTAGCCAAATTACTCCTTATAACATCAGCTATCTGCTAGTGATAGATCGGTCAAAATCGATCCAGCCGTTTCAGAGATAAGCCGGAACAAACAGACGGACAAAAAGTTTTAAAACAGTTTTTTGTTATAAGCACCGTATATACTTTCATATGCATGAAGTAAAAAGCTGTTATTTTGACATTACAAACAGACACTTCAATTATATTTATTTGTATATATCGTACACCCAGATCAAAACTGAGTCAACTCGAACAACGCGAATTTGGAGTTATCTTTATACTCGAATGCTTGGTGAACCCATGCAACTATCCTATATAACAGGTACAAGAAAGCCTGGAAGGAAAAGTCGCTAGATGCCGAGAGTGCGCCCTCCTTTCTGCCAAGGAGGGTCGCGTTCGTATACGGCTTAGAGATCTCTAGTCAGATCGTTAAGCCAATTCCTAAAAGGCGGTGTTTAGTGGGTAAAAGTCTCCACGTAACCACGCAGCCGGCCGCGTGGTATGCTATGAGCATTCACCGCCTCCCCCCCGCTTTCCGGAGGGTTGCCCATATTTGCTTCGGGCGCAAAAAAAAATGCCGAGAGCTATCCTTTGTTGAATCGACGCATGTTACCCCCTCCCACCTAAACAAGTGTATTGTCAGTTGACCTTCGCTAGTCTTAGAGAGTGCATGTATTAACCTGAACGAAAACACGGATATTTCGTTTTGTTACAGTTTGATGAAAAGAGTACGTGAGTCAATTTGAGTTGTTACAGTTTTGGTGAATAGTTCTGCTACTCTCTACATTACTTAGAGATATTTCGACTTGTTCCAGTTTTGTTTGACCAGGTACGTAATAATTTTGTAACTATTTTGACTTAACTTTGTTTAGATGAATCAACATGTTAATTTCTAGTTAACCTACTATTGTTGAAACAAATTTATTTTCATGTTTTTTTTTATATTAAACCTCTCATTTTACGTGTTTTACTTGAAAAATCTTTTATGATTTTATACTGACCGTTTTAAAAGTATACTGTTTTTAATCAATCTACGTGCCACATTGTTTTAAAAGGTTTTGTTTGAGTTAACTTACTTTTTGTGGCTATGTATAAAAGTAATACAATAAACTTTTTTGTTTCAGAAAAAAATGAAGCGAGGCCGTATTCTTCTTAATATTATAAAACAAAGATATCAAGAGAACCTATTAACAATGAATGAACAAGAGTCGGCAAAGTTTATAAATGAAGAAGCTCAAAATAATAAATATATAGGTCAATTAACACTGCCTTGCTAACAAAACCATGTATTAAACAAACAAAATGAAAAAAATCTTGACATACAAAGTGATAAGGGTCTAATAGATGACTCTAATATTGCAGATTGTGTTCGACAAAAAGACAAAGAACTGACGCCTAACGCAATTCCAAATTTAAAAAGGTATGAAGAAAACTCACTAATACTCAATGAATGAGAGACGGCCACATCTTCGAACTTTGGAAAACAGAAGAGCAAAGAGTACACGCCAATAGATACTGCCTTATTGACTAAAGCATGCAATATGCAGCAAATTGAAAATGATCTTTACATGTCGTCAAGTGATCAAAGTCTCATAGATGATTCTCATACTGATCCGAGATATGTCCGTCAAAAAAAGAAGAAACTGCCCCCGAAAGTAATTCTTAATTCATCTTTGTCTTCTTCAAGTGATACTAGCTCATCTAGCACTTCAAATTCTAGTACTAGTTCTAACAGTAGTTCTGATTCTGAAACTGAAACCAGGGATATTATCGATGCTGTTACACAGAGTCAAAATCAAGATATTGTTAATGAAGGTCGCAATGGTCATCCCAGTAAAAATAACAATGATCAGTCCGATGAAGATCGCAATGGACACCCTAATGAAGATTGCAACGATCAGCCTAACGAAGATTGCAATAACCAGCCTAATGAAGAAGCAAAAAAAGGAAAGAAGAGGCTAAGAAGAGAATCGACATGGAAAGTAAATATTTGTAAAGTTCTGAGGAATTCTGGTAACGCTTATCAGTTTTTATCAAAAACAAAGAAACTTGTTCGTGAAAGGAAGGTGCACGACTTGCGGTGAAAAATGCAGATTACGTTGTAATTTGAAGAAAATCAGAGTATGTAAGGCTTTTTTTAAGGGTACATTAGATTTAAGTAACACGGCTATTAATACTGCACTCACAAAAAAAAATGCTTCCGGTATTGTGGCCAATGATTTTAGAGGGAAACACGGAAAGCAACCAAAAATTGATACTGAAATTAAAGTCAGTGTTACGGAGTTCATAAATAGTATCCCAAGGATTGAGTCTCATTACCTGAGAGCGCAGACATCACGGAAGTTTATTTGCAGTGACAAATCTCTTGCTGAATTATATCGTGATTATAAAGAAGCTCGTGAAAACAAACAGTTACCTTTCGCCACAAAGTCAACATTTAACAGGATATTTAATACAGAGTTTAATATTTCTTTTTTTGTTTCGAAAAAAGATCTTTGCGACCTCTGTGAGAGCTTTAAACACGCTAATGAAGTAGAGAGATTTGAAATACAAGAGAGTTATGAACAACATCTTTTAGAAAAAAAAAAACTAGCAAGAGAACACAAAGAAAAAGAAAAGAACAGAAATGACGAAGTAATTGTAGCAGTATATGATTTACAAGCTGTTATGCAGGTTTCAAAGGGTCAAGTATCCTTGTTTATCTACAAATACAGAATTAATTGTTTAAATTTCACAACAAGTGATCTGTCGGCAAAAGATGTAATATGCTACTTCTGGGATGAGACCGAAGGGAAAAGTGGCGCTGTAGAAATAGGCTCATGTGTTCTGAAGTATATTGACACTTTATTAGATAAAAATCCTGATAAAGACATCGATACTGTCTTGTGTTCCGACAATTGCTGTGGGCAGCAAAAAATAAATATTTACTTTCTGCTTATGCTTATGCTGTTGTCACTAAACGAGTTGCGTCGATAACGCACAAATTTCTTATACGTGCTCATTCTCAAAATGAGGGTGACAGTGTTCACAGCGTCATAGAAAGACAAATAAAAAGGCACATTAAATCTGTCCGATATACACCCCACAAGAATATTGCACTTTGATACGTACAGCTAAAAAAAAACGGGCAGTCCCTACCTAGTGAAAGAGATGATGACGTTTGAACAGTTCTACGATACTAAAATCTTGCAAGAGGAGTGGGGTACCAATTTCAATTTAGATGAAGACCGTAATCAAGTTAAATGGCACGACATAAAATTTTCAGGGTGGAAAAGGAGAACCCGGAAGCTGCCGGCATTCTTCTATAAAACGTCATTTGCAGATGAAAATTATAAAAAGGTGTTTGTGTGCAAACGCCGAAACAAAGATGATCAGATAGGATTTACAGGGCTTACACAAGCCTACACTCATAAAATACCACTCTCTGAGGCAAAGATGAAAGACATTAAGGATCTAATAAAAAATACGCAATCCCACAGGTTTATGTAGATTCATATTTTAAAAATGTAGTTGGTAATAATAACAAATTGCTTTTGTTAATTGAGTGCTTAATTTTAAAACCTGGATGTACCTTTTAAGTTCATATCTATAAGAATTTAACATTTTATTTTGATTTTATAAGACGTTTTATTATTTTGTTATTTAGGTTATGTAGTAATAAGAAACTGGTGTTTTTTAAAGCCGGGCAAAGTGATATCCACGTAATTTTAATTGTTGATCTCAAAAATACCAAATTATAATTAGAAGTGTAAAAGTATTTTATGTAGTTTTATAAGAGTTTGATACTAATTAATAATTAAAAGTTCTAAGATGATTCTATTCTTATTTTTTTATAAACAAGATTATAAATCTTATCATTTAAGTACATGAAAAATCCTATGTTATCTTGAAATGTTTACCTTCTTTGTTACTTCCTGTAAATTTTAATATTTTGAGACATACTTTGTAATTTATTATTAGCTTCAAATAACATGAGAGCCTTGGTCCCAATTTAATTTTGAAGATATTTTTTTGGTTCTTAAATACCATAGTGTAATAACAAAATCATTCCCTTAATTATACAATACATTGATGCATAATTTTTGTGTTTTAATTTATGTTGTTTCATTTGTAATGTACATTTTTAATTTTAGTACTCTTTTAAATTAGTTTTATTTGAAGAATCGTTACCTTAATTTTTGTTCTAATTTAAGTTCAACTCAAAATGGTTCAATAAAACTGCTTCAAGTCTAAATGTGGTCTTATTTGTAAACAAAGTCACCACCCTAAAGTGTAACAACTCAAAAAATACTGATTATCGGTAAAAAGGCTCGATTTTTAGTCCCAGTTTACATACGGTGATATTTTCCTACTTATTTATAATGTATAACAATAATTCCCTAACAAAAAATGCAGTAACACGTTTTCTTCATCTCCTGAAAAATGACCTTTTTTAAGTTGTCTCAGTTTTGATCTAGGTGTGCGATATATAACCTACTTAAAACGCACGAAATTAGTATTTGTATGGCCTACAAATAATTGTTTCAGGTCTGGATGTTTGTCCTTGTGAAATTTATGTATGTAAACTGCCCTCACGATACAGGAGAAAATCCTAGTGTGGAGGTAACGTTTTTTTTTTAAATAGGAAATAACTTAAAATATAGTGTAATGTAAATAATTTTGTCACTCCGATGTTGCATATTAGCATACGCGTACTAACGTCAAGAAAATTTAATAATTTATAAAAATCCCTCATTAATGGTTTTGCGGTTTTCTAATGGAGATAAAGTAATATGACGTAACTAAGGATAATATTGATGTTCCTTTTATTATATGACTTTTACATCAACAGGTTCTTTGCCTGTTAAGGCAAAAGTTATGGCCTTTAAAGGTCATAAATCGGTGTGACTGAGGTATAAACCACACTGACCCTATATATAAGATTATATTTAAGTGTTTGAAAGAGAGAGAAGAGTTGAGAAGAAGACTATATTTAAGTATTTTCTATTAAAGAATGACAACTGCCGCCTCCGTGCTGGCAACGAGAAATCTCATCGTAATTCTTAGCGTTCATGTATTTCATCGCGGCTCCTTTAGTTTTATTTACCACAAAGTAAATACGACTTATTTTATGAAAATAACGCTTCGTTGTATCTCCTCATATTTATTGGTTGGTTAGATACATAAAAACAGAAGACATAGAGGTCCTGGGTTCGAATTCCGGATCAGGGCAAAAAAACTAACTATTGAGTTTTTCCGTCAAGAAATTCTCAGTAGTTGACCGGAGTCAGGTCCTGCACCTGATCTCTCGCCGGTCGTGTCGGTTTACCGTCCCATCATATTATGAGAGTGAGGGAATAGATAGTGCACCTGTGCTTGCGCATACACTTGGAAACTATAATCCTGTCCTGCGCCGATGGCTAGCCTCCTCAACAACCTCTAGCTGAGGCAGGCCGCCGTGGCCGAAATTCGGTCTGGGGGACATTATTATTATTGGGGGGGTCTCCCACCCTGAACTTGTTATTCTTCAGATATCCCAATCAGAAACCGGGCGCCGAAGGAGAGCATGTCATAATGAAGGAGGCCTCTACCCCCCATAATCGCAGGTTGCTTCCTAGGTGGCAAACAAAGGCGTTGTCCGTTGCCCTATACTTTAGATCTCAAGGTAGTAAAAGAGGGTAGCGCAATGCAAATCTACTCGCTCGTTAGAGTTGGTTAGAAGTCTGTACGGACTGCCGCCGCTAGGATTGCGATAGAGTACGAAAGCGTTCCAGTAGCCAGGGCAAACGGCGAAGATATGAGCGCTGTGGGGTTAAGACGGTAGCACACATAATATGTCCAAGTTTTACCCGTATGTTTATATTTTAAATTAGGACAGATCTGAATAAACCCGAACGAATGGCAACTCTATTTCTGAGTTATATTTCCGTCATTTTGTAATTGAAATCTAAGGCGTACATTACACGCTCATGCAGGCGTCAATCAATTCCATCAATCATGATTGATAAAAAACGGATAGTGACTGAAGGCGTACATTACTCGTTCATGCAGGCGTCAGTCAATTCCATCAATCATGATTTATAAAAAACGGATTGTGACTGAAGGCGTACATTACAGGCTCATGCAGTCGTCAGTCAATTCCATCAATCATGATTGATAAAAAACGGATTGTGACTGAAGGCGTACATTACTCGCTCATGCAGGCTGTAAGTTTTACAACAATCAGGGTGGTGATTGACGAATAACCTACCGTGTTGTAGTAACCTGCAGTGATTGACGCCTTAATGAGCGCGTAATGTACGCCTATCAGTCACCATCCGTCTTTATCAATCATGATTGATGGAATTAATTGACGCCTGCATGAGTGTGTAATGTACGCCTAAAAGTTACAGCATATATACGTCCCACTGCTGGGCACAGGCCTCTCCCCATTACTGAGAGGGTTTTAGGGCAAGGAAGTGTCCGCCAAGCTGCCCCAATGCGGGCTGGCTTCACTTATCTTCACATATATAACTTCACATGTCTTCGAAATATTTTTTTCTTATTTCTCAGACATGCAGGTTTCCTCACGATCTTTTCCTTCACCGCCGAGCACGTGATAAATCAGTACTTAAAATTGCAATTAATAATTTCATTGGTGCCGGCGGGGATCGAACCCGGGTTACTCGCCTTCTGTTATATTTACAGCGAGCGTTAACCATCTGAGCTACCACGGCTAATTACCACGCCTAATGTTATTTAATTTTATCACAATTCGAGTTTTCCTTTCGATGCCGACCTAAAAAAGGAGGAGGTTTACGATTTGACTGTTCGTAAGTCGGTATGTTACTCGATACCTTCGTCCACCTGGAACCAATTTTTTATTAAATACATAATGTATTCAAAAAATTCCACCCCAAAGTGTGTCAAAATTGGGCATATTTTTTAAATGTAACTTTAAACTAGTTTCGTTTAGAAATCAGCATTTACTTTTATTAAAAGTTATTTTTTTTTACCCTTTTTTTTAACATGGGGAAATGCCTACGCATACCCGCCTCGCGGGGGCAAGGACGGGTTATGTCGGACTCGCACCGACTAAAACCCCATGGTGTTCCACCTTCGTCGC